CCTCTATAATCAAGGAAATCATGACAAGAAACACAAGCTCTGGAATATCGTATCAATTGGAAGATATACATTCCACATGCAAGCATGTGCGGATCCAGAATTTGATGTTAGAGGGGCTAAGAATTAGGAATTAGAGGTCTTTTTTTGACACAAAATTGGCTATAATTATACTGTTATTGCATTTAAAAAAAAATTTTTTTAGGGGAGACTATCTGAATCTGCGCAGGCGCTAATTGGAGAACTCATAACTCGACAATTGTGGTATTAACAGTGGACTCTTTTCGGGGTAACGCGGAGCAATGTAGAGGAGGAACCGCAGTACATCCTGCCGGATTCAGCCTTATTGAAAAGACCTGCCCTCATGGTTCTTCTCTGCGGGTCACTAGTTGGTTGCTGGGTGTTAGAATACACAATTGATCCTTGCTGCACTGAATACTTCAACTAGAGAGGGGGTCTCATTGGGGGTTCTGAACCCGGATCCCGCTTACTGTTTTGTCAGATTCCCGTATCCCGCTTACACTATGAACGTAAGCAATTCTATTTTTTTTTGTAATTTCCCGTGTCCCGCTAGACTTCATTTCCCGTTTTCACGCCACAATAATTTGACTTTCACGTGTCACGCTTACAAAAAATTGGCAATCCCGGGTCACGCTTAGACCCCAACATGCCCAATGAGACCCACTAGAGACATGTATTGGTGTGAGCCAAGGCTCCGTGTTGAAGGCCGTACTTTGACCTATAATTGTTAACTCTTCGTTTATACATTGTGACTTGGATGGAGAGTTGTCTCATTGGCACTCATACCACATCTTCTTATTTATATAGTACTTTTTATGTCTGCTTTAACATGTTAAACAAGAAAACTAAAACATGTATTCTGATTAAACTGTGAAATTACAATATTGTATTATATGTCCTACGCTGCCTTATTAATGTATATCTTCCTTCTAGAGGTACAGATAAAGGACATGATACTTATAGAGCATCCTTAGACACGCTAAAAGAAAGAAACCCACTCAATTGTTATTGCTGGGGACTGTAACGCCTTGTTCATTAGACATTACAAGGACTCCCAAGATGAACTATTTAAACAGTTTTTCAAAGAAAATCAAATAGAACTTCCAGTCAAATACCCAACTGATCACACATATTTTCAAGGAGAATCTAGATCACAAATTGACTACATATTGGTCAAATCTATTGAGAATGATAAAAGACTAGTTAAGGGAACTTTTTCAGGTCAAGATCCTAAGTGTAGGTCACAACACCTCTGACCAGTGTCCTGTGTCTGCCGATTTTTGTATAGAACTAAGGACTAGCCAGAAACAGTACAGAGAAAATACCTGTACCAAAATCAACTGGGAAAAAGTAAATAAAGATAACTATGCACTAAAAGTGCAGGAAGAACTAAAGGATAGAACATATCTAAACATGAGAACACCTTAAGGAATTGATCAAGCTACAAACAAATTACTTAAATTACTTACTGGTTGAATAATGCACTAGAAACATGTTATTCTCGGAGGAAATTAAAGTTTAGCAGGAAGAAAAAGTAAGTTGGGCACCAAAGTTGGCTAATGAGGCCCCTCATGGGGGTGTCCAAGTAATCACATAATCACAAATTTTTTGTCAATATAATCACATAATCATGTACTATTTTTTTAAACAAGATAATCAAAAAATCAAAAATACAGTTCTAGATTATCAAGTAATCAAATAATCATGAAATATTTGGTCTGGTAATCAAATAATCACTATGAAAACGGCCAAGTAATCACATAATCAAAAACCCCATGAGGAGGCTCGCTAATGCGGTCAGTAAATCAAAAAAGGCCTTAATTCTACCTCTGGAAAAATCAGGATCACCTCCTTCTAAAGATAATATATATAACATACATAGGCTTGATTCCAAACGTACATTAAGATCAATACAAAGACAACAAAGTGCTGACAAAAGAAATCAACTCGCCATGAAGAAATTATGAGAGCATCTGACAGGAACAAAGATTTTTCTTTAGATTAATATAAACTCAAAGATCCTCTTCCTCCCAATTCACTCACACTCTACAAACGGCGGACAAGGAAGCATCCACCCCAGATGATATGAATGATCTATTTAAGGAACATTTTGCAAACTTAGCAAAAACAAAGGTTAATCATCTGCACAAGAGATAATCTTAAACCCAAAAAAAAACTGGAAAAAAACTGACTCATGATATGATAGATTCAACTTGGAAAACAAAATGGTCTGAGATAGCTGAAACCAAAACATCACTGAATCATATGGAAGTAAGCAATTGGAACTTCCGAAAACCTAATACATGTTAGAGCAGTGACAAGAGACAACAAGCGAGATGTTGCTAAAGGAATAATAAAGTCCAGAATATTGACTGGGATATATAAAACTCAAAATATTAACAACCGCTTTGATTCAACAAAATCTGCAGAGTGCAAATTGTGTATGAACGGAACAGAAGATTACAAGCACTTTCTTGTTAACTGCATAAGCCTTAAATCAGTGAGAAAAATCCACAACATCAGACTTAAACACTTGATGGCTGAACTTAATTCAGATCAACTACAACTACATCGTTGAATCTGAAGACGATCTGCTTCAATTACTAGTCGACTGTTCCAGCAAACGTCGCACACCTGTGATTCACCTAGTTGTTATAGAAATGATATGCAAAGACTGGGTATATGCATTGCATACCAAGAGAGCGGAATTATTGCAGTAAAATATAATGAACATTTATTTTTGACTAGAAGATTGGAACCTTATAAGATCCTATACAAAGCTGGCTACTATCGGTCATGAGAATGGAAACAATTTAGAGAGAAATCATTAAATTAAATAAGGATAATCTTTCTCAGTATCCTGTGCAGGGCTCCTCTGGAGCATTATCGCACAATCGGACTATGTACAGTTAAAATCGGAGTCGTGTGAGACTTAAGCCTATTGTTGGTTAGTAAATATATAACTATATGACCCCTGCATTCTATTTTACACATAAATAACAACTTTTACTAATAGAAACCAATAACTTGGGTCTTTGACAAGATTTTAAATTTTAACAATATCTAATGTATGGAACCCCACGTGATTGTTAGAACTTTTTATTTATTTTTAAACTATTGGAAACTTTTAACACAGTTATTCATGGTTATTAGAGTTCTATTCATTTTAAAAATATGGTTTGAGCTTATGTCAGTCTGTTATAAGAGGGGCGTAAAGGGGGGTATCTGCACGGAAGAACGCGAAATAAAATTGCCATTTCACGATGAACGAACAATTAAAAATTTCTTGCACGTTGATCTTTTTACCGATTTCTCGAAACACGGTGAATTACGAACCTTTTAAGCTTAAATCTTCGGCAATAAGCTAATGCCTAGGCAGTTAGTCTATTGCCTAAATGATGTTAGGCGTTAGTCTTAAATCCTAGGATATAAGCTTAAATCCTGAAAAATGTGTACAGGCATTAAGCTTAATTAATGCCTAAAATATAAATGCGAGTACATAAAAGACATTTATTCATTTAGATAAAAATATATTTGTAACATAATAACATTATGAGAACTGAAGTTTAAAATGTCATCTACCGATAATAAAATATTTCCATTCGATCTCTCAATAATACCCTGTGATTGGGGATGTCTCGGCTTCCCATGAATGATAACACATGCAGTCACTATATGGCGCACCAAATATAGTGAAAATAGCAATTAGATTAAAAGCCACCTCAGACATTTTGACGTAAGAGCTTTAATGTTACAAAATGTGTAAGGTGATCTTGGAACACCATAAGAAATTTAAAGTTTGAAACTTTCAATCTAGGTTTGATTGAAAATCATTCAAATAAACTTGTCCTCTACTGTTAAAGTCTTTAGATAAAATAGTCTTCACTACTTCTTCCTTCCCTATATGTATTTTTTTTTTTTTTTCATATTACAATTTTCATATTTAGTGAAAGAAATAGTTCAATAGCATCACGGAAAATATCAGCATATCCGTTATTCAGTTGTTTAATCATGCGGTTAATCCAGATAAAGGAGGTAAAAAAGGTAAAATGGCCTAGGGGTATTTAACAAAATTTTTAATAAAGAAAATTTACTTATCCAATAAAAAAATTGGAAAAACGGTGTGAGCAAAAAATCATATCTTAATTTTGTCTACTTTTGACCAGTTCAAACCAGCTCGACAAGTGAAGAGTAAAAAAAAAATCAAATAATTATTATAATTATTATATAGAATTTCATCCCCCCTTTTTAATTGGATACAATCACTCTTTTTAAATCTTTATCATTTTTTGTAATACAACAAAAAATATGAGTCAATTCTGTTTTGAATATGAAAAATACTAAAATTTGAAGATCTGTCAAATGAATCTATATTAATATTAGGACTATAATTACTGAAAAAACTACTTTATATCAAGAATAAATCACCGAATATACATAAATTCCAGAGTTCACTTATTGCCTAAAATTATGTTCGGCAATAGGTTGAATAATCATCATCAGATTTCAGGAAATATTATAAGCTTAATGTCTGAAAATTTCAGGCAATAACTTAATGCCTAGGCATTAGCTGGATTTAAGCTTAATGCCTAATTTCACTTATTGCCGCTAACATATACAAGTTTTACCTTTAATGCTTTTTATCCGTATTATTTTATTTTAATTTACCCTAACACAGATAACATATCTTAATCTAATAATTTTTTTAAAGTACGCATATTTAAAAATATAAACTAAAATATGTTTTTAATGCGGCGACCCTGCAAATAGGATCAAATAGGGTGGACTTCCGTAAGAAGAAGAAGATGTCCGCCATTCCTTCTGAATACTCCGCTCTAAAGGTAACAATTAGCAACAAAAAAACAGTTGGCCAGTTTAGCTTATCATGTTATAAAATGTAAAATAATTGAATTTCCCGCAAAAACGACAAGGAAAACGGTGCTCGGTTATGTCTGCTACACGTAAGAATTATGTTGACCAATGAAAACGGGCCACGATCGGTTTCCGGTTCCATCAACGTGTTTGTTGATTTGTTCAGCTTCACTATTCCCAACTTGCATCTAGATATTATTACTACAGAGGAAAATAAGTGAAAAAAAAACACCAAAATGATTGTTCTTGGTAAGTGCTTCACGGATCTTAGGGCAAAATAGCTTATGACACCTTATATTATTTTTTTTTAACGTCGACATCATAAAAATTTTTGTACTTTTTTTTTAACTTCGATTTGTCACAACTCACAAGTTGTCAAACTACATGTATTTGTAGTTTTTATCTTTTTGTGTTCGTTTTCTATCAAGAAGTTACTTATCGAATACTGAATGAAGGCTTTTAAGCGCACAGCAAATTAGTTTGTGATATTAAATAATGAAGTAATTATAGAACTAATCCAAGAATATTCAATTTCAAATGGAAAAAAGTCACTCAGGCTACGATTACTCGCAAAGAGTAACTATAAGAAATAATTATTATTTCCAAGACTAATGGTTGAAACATATTTCCAGACAGGGCCCCGACTTCATACGGAAATTGCAGCCATGCAGGTAGTCCAAATAATTATGACATCTTGAAAGGCTATTATATTGTTTTCTTTGACGCCTTATATACCATGCAGGTAACAATTATATCATGCAGTTATTGTTACCTGCTAAAATTTAATCAGACAGACTTTGATCTAAAAAAAATGTTTGATTTTCGAGCAACCTGTGTAATGAATTTAAAAGATTAAATTATGATGTAAAAAACATTAACATAAGAAATTTTCAGATGTATTGACCAATGGCAATGTGACATTCACTTTTGCCTAAGTCAATGTAAGATTTGTAAGTGGGTTGATTAAAAACATCTCGCTATAGACAACTTTCGAATTTGTGGACTTTTCTGTAAATGTCACAATTTATTATTGCTATCTTCAATAAATAATTTCAATTCATATAAATTTTTTTCAAATATGTAAAACAACATAAAAAAAATGAAGACAGTACAAACACCCGATGTTACATAAAAAATGACATAATTTGCAAATGTAAAATTTTGCAGGTAACAATAAAAAATTATAAAATTGGGTCCCTGTCTGGAGACACATTTCGGTAATTAGTCTCGGAAGTAACAATTATTTCTTATTGTTACTTTTAGCAGGTTATCGTAGCCAGTGCCTATAGAAAAATATTTAACCAGTGACCAAACAACACAGGAATTCATGAATGCATGTAGCTCATGAGTTAATTATCAGTGTTTTTCAGTCAGGTGTTGTCAGAGTGTTGAATATTTTTCGATATTTGAATTCTTGGATTAGTTATTCTTTTTATTACCTTGACCATGGCAGAGCTCCAGATAAGAATTCACAAATTGGGGTTTTTACCCACCATTTTTTTATGTAATTGGGTGATAAAGTTTTTTAATTGCATTATCAATTCCAATTCACCCCTCAAGCAAATATCAAATTGGGTTTTTCACCACCAAGCTCCTTAATGTATTGGGTTTTTTCATCAACACAATATTGAATATTTAGGCATGTTATAATCACATTATATCAACCCCAGATGTGTTTCCATCTTAAATGTGTTTCTTTCTTTGTATATGTGCTTAGCTGTTTTATTTGGTTTATTCACTGACGAGCAATTGTACGTTTAATTTGTGTCCCGTTTTAAACGTTCTGTCAGTTTTGTATTTTCTCAAAACTTATGTAAACTGCAGCTGGTGTCACTAGTTGGACAGTAACTAATTGCCTTTCTAGATCCCATATGATCACCCTACAGTTTATAGTTGAGGTAGGTTTTGCTAAGTGTTTAGATTTTTATGTAATATATGTGAAATTTAGGTGCTGTAAGAAAGTTTTGCCAGTCCTTTCACCTATTTGCCAGATCTACTTTTTAATTAAAATAAAAAGTAGTTCACCAGATTTAAGATATACCCCAAAACCTTGAGATTTATAGGGTGGTTTAATGATGGAGACCACATTTTACAAATTTACAAATAATTCTGCAACATCAAGTAAATAAATGACAATGTTATACTGCACTTGCCAATAAGACAACTATCTTAAGCATCCAGAACAATTAAGACCAAAACAAAGAAAGTGTCAAGATGCATAAGTTGACGTAAAAAACGGATATGTGTATTCATTCATCAACTCAAATGAGAAAAAAAACTAAGATATAAACTGTTTTTGTTTAATTCAATTTACATAAATCTGGATTAAGTTGTCCCTTTTCAGAACTTTTGGTTTCCGATGCTTTCCAACTACATATCATGTCATAATTGATTTGGCCTTTCACTTTTTCCAACTGATTTCGTTTTTGATGAAACCCCGTGTTTATCGTTCTATAGCAATGTTCTCGTTAAGGTACGCAAACACGCCCGTGCGTTCAATGGACGCTTCCTAAAATCACTAGCTGAGTCTTGTTATCATCATAACTTTCCCTCAGCTATCAAAAAGAAGCCGAAAACATGCTTCTATTCAATATTTTTATTGGACATTTACTTTCGTTTTAATTCATTGTATGTTATGATAAATCCCGAGCAATTCGAAAAAATATGACAGCATGTCACACGCTAATTGGATAAACGCTGAGAAGATCGAAATGTTTTCATAAACACGTGTACCTTTTGAGCAACGGAAAATTCCAACAGGGACCCATTACAGCTACTTGATGCAGGGCTCTATTTTAAGAACAAAAGGACAGTTCCAATTATAAATATTATAAAAATAGATTTACGCGACGACTGTAATCAGATAAGGGTAAATAACGCAAACGATAGCGAATAAAAGAGTTAAGAACTCATGGTTTTGGCATATTATTGGGTTTTCCTTTGAATTAATTGGGTTATTGAACCCTGCAATGGGCAAATGCATTGGGTTTTTAATTATTTGTATTGCGTGATCACGCAAATACGCAGCTTATCTGGAGCTCTGCCATGGGCTTTTTTAATGGAAATAAAGAAAATAAATGACAGACAGTGAGGAACTATATCATATCTTTTTCTACTCATTCTCAATTGCAGGGTCCGACACTTACGGTTGTCCGATTGCCCGGGGCAAATTAATGTTGTATTCGGACAAGTAAAAACATCATCTTGGTTGTCCGATTGGGCAAGTGAAAAAAAAGTGTTATATGATTAAAATTTCACAAAATCAATAATGTCTGTTGTTTTGTCCAAAGATTACTCAGTGATAACACCGCACGGTCGAGTAAAGTGGTCTTAACCCCCCTTCAATGCGTATATTTCGTCATTTGTTCGCACTGAATTCCCCATTTTACCAAAAATAGATCACGTTTAAAAATATTAGCCAATCAGGCGGCCGCGGCGTTGCTTCATCATTATCGTTATCAATCGGGACACCACTCGGGCGTTTCCTACGCACGTGTTATTCCCACTGACCAATGGAAAGCGGAGGTCTATTTTCGTTGTTCTAACTTTAGAATTTGACATCGGATGTGTATTTCCCTAAGATGAAAAACATAAAAGCTTGAAAGAGAAAATGAAATTAAACTTTAACAAATTTCTCAGTTTATCAAGAAGGGTTTTTTGAAATGGCATTTCTTAGATAAATTATTATGAAATGAGTATCTCTATGTAAATGATCCAATTCCCGTATATTCGTCGATCTTTTCCTTCCCTCCTCGGCTCATAAATGCATGCCTCATAGTATCTCAGTGGTCAAGTCTAGTTGCTGCCATCATGGCACAACAATCAACCCTGGCAAGTTTTTTCAGTGGAATTCCTCAAAAAAAGAAATCTGACTCCCAGCTGTCTGCATGTATTACATTACAACCACAAAAATAGCATGTAAAAGTTTGGGCATGTAGATTTCACTTTCGGACAAGTAAAAGTAATAGGGCACTTGCCCAACTGGACAAGTTGGTATAAAAGTAAATGTCGAACCCTGAATTGTATCGATGCAATGACATCGACAATGTCTTGACACCACCCATTGTTGTATGATGTCAGAGGAGTGAAATTATAGGTTTTAATATATCACTGGGAATTCATAATAATTCATTGCAACCAATGTAATAAGTTTTATAACAGTGCATAAAAAAAAGATACAATAGGATTTCATTGAAAATATTGAAAAGTTTTGTTTGTCATGTTTGTCATAATTATCGTAGGCAAAGAAATAATAAAAAAAAATATACGTGTGATTATGGTACACTGATGGAACCTACATTTTTAGAGCTGAACCTAGAGGTGACAGTATTTTGTTTTGGACAACTTAACTAAGGCCATGCACAAAAGGTTGTTGGTTTCTTCTATTAAACCCTGCCAGGTCAATTCTTTTAACAGATAAACAAAAAATGAAAGAGTCTCTTTTAAGACAAATATCATTGATGCCTTATATAATTAATTGTCTGATAATTTCTTAAACTAATGTTTCATTTATCTATTATCATTCTTAAAGTTTAAATGGCTTATCTCAAAATAAAGATTAAGATGTAATGCTAAACAAGGTTTTTTTTTCCCTGTTGATGGTTTAGGCAAAATTCTCCGTAGAGTGAAACTGCATATGCCTTGTTTGATTTGATAACATAACCGTCATCAAGGGCATTATAATTGGCATCAGTAAGCTCGATGGAGTCAAAAAAGATTGTTTGTTATGACTGTGAATAAAGTTATGTTTTAACATGTTGAAAGGGAAGTGGATTATTCTCTAAAAACATTTCACACAGATAGTTTTTGGTTGGATCTCTGAAAGGTTAATAACAGGATCTCCATTTTTCACATGTCAAACCCTGTTATGATAGAATATAGATGCAATGACTTGTTTAACATGTTTAACACTGCCAAATCTTTTGCGCCTGTCCCAAGTCATGAACTTCAAGCCTTTGTTTGTCTTTATTTTGGTTCATTTATATGTTTCGGAGTTTAGTGTGGCGTCCTGAACTAGTATACATTATTGTTAAGAGGCTAGCTGAAGCCCAACTCTGGATGCATGATTTTCTTGCTTGGTTGAAGACCCATTGGTGGCCTTGGGCTATTTTCTGCTCTTTGTTCAGGTTGTTGTCACATTCCCCATTTTTATTCTGAATTCTATTTGTATACAATACGTAAATCTGTAATAAAGTTATTTTTCTTTGCAGTTTTGGCAGCCTTGTGTGCTGGTGCAACAGCCTTCTACTCCAGTGGAGATGGAGTTGTAGATCTTACCCCATCAAATTTTGACAGAGAAGTTGTTGGCAGTGATGCTTTGTGGATTGTTGAGTTCTATGCTCCATGGTAAGTATACCATGTAAACTGATCAATACAAACTTTTACAGAACGGAAACAAAATGTGAACTAAAAAGTCACTTGTCATGCTTGTCCTTTTTGTGATTTTTTTAGTTAGAATTCCATTACATGTATAGTATTTTTATACTTCAAAGAGTCGAAATTTTTCTCCAATAAGCTAGCCTTTTCAATTTCAGGCCTCATTGGTTTAAAGGAAAGTCTTAAAATTGAGAATGGAAATGTATAGTTTGTGGGTTTTTGAAATGATATTGTCAGACTGCTCAGATCAGTTTAAATTTATGCTTTTCAGGTATCTGATAATAAGTTTTAGTTTTCATGAATCACAAAAGATTCTGTATATTTGTTTTATGTTGTTATTGGTCTGGTGTCTCCATAAACAGTCGTCCTGAATATGCATGAAATATTTGCCACTGGACATTAAGCAACCAACAATCAATCAATCAATCTCCATAAACAGTGTTAGAGAATAGTAATATGAGAAATATATCATATACTGAATTACAAGACTGTTGTTTTAACATTTACATATTTTTACCTGTACAGGTGTGGACATTGTCAATCTTTAACACCTGAATGGAAAAAAGCAGCCAAAGCACTCCAGGTAAGAGGATGATGTAACATACAATATATTAATGATACATGTAGTTTATTAATTTTCATTGGTTTTAAAGTTCAAGGTCAATACCATACTATGTATTCTTTGTTTCGTAATATTTGTACATGATACATTTTTTTAAGGTCTTTTCTTTAAATTAAGTACAAGTTCGTTATGTCAGTCTTCAAGATAAAGTCAGTGGTGATCCTTACAGTTGCTGGTAGTGAAGACTGCTGTGTGTTAGTTTATAAAGTGGCCCTATACATGTTAGATTTATTTTCAGTTTCTGAATCTGACTTTTGTTCTTAATTTTTCAGGGTGTTGTTAAAGTAGGAGCCGTGAATGCAGATGACCATAGAGATCTTGGAGGAAGATTTAGTGTTCAGGGCTTTCCTACCATTAAAATATTTGGACTTAACAAAAATAAGCCTGAAGATTATCAAGGTTAGTGTTTCTTACACTCAGAAATGAATCACACATTAACTATGTTTGCTGTAACACCAACATTAATATAATTGATTACTGTAAATTCAGAAATTCGTTTCAAGTTCCTCTGACTTTTCCCATTTAATAACATTACCAAATTACCATCTTTTCATTTTCTTATTTCATTAAAAACATCATGAACTTCATCACAGCAAAATCTGGTTAAAAACTTCTTATTTCTCAAATGATTCTGACAGTGAAACTATTTCTATACAAAATATTAAAAATCATTAGAACTTCTGTTTCCACCTAATTTTGAAATGCTTACACCCAAAATCAAATGCATAGACACATACATTTTGTTGTAGCTTAATACTACATGTATGTATTGAGCACAGGTATTTCATATACAAGATTAACTGTTTCTTAAACTTAAGACTAGTGAACTTTCTTAATCATGTTAATGAAATCAGTGTTTCTATTGAGTAGAAAATGTAATTGGAAGAACCAAGCAATGATAAAAACTTATGATTTAATCATGTTAATTTTTGCTTGTTATATTTGATTGCAAAACAAATAGTTAAATCATGAAAATTAATTGTATGATAGCTAATCATGGCTAAAGGCTTTAACCATAAATGTACATATCTTATTCCACTACTTATTCTACAATTTAATGGAAGGATTGCAGATTGTTTACATGTTGTTCAGTTGATGATACAGGAGGGTCTGGATGGGGGTCCTTCATTTCTTTATTCTTTAGCTGTTTTAGATAATTTTTTCTGTATTATTTATTTATTTTGACCCTTATTCTCAATTCTTTATATATTTCAGCACCCCATTATTCTCTGTTCTTTATATATTTCAGCACCCCTCTATTCTTTATTATGTAAGCCTATTTTTCTCTATTCTGTAAACTCCAACCAGACCCTCATACAGGAATTGATACTCATCGGGATCTTTAACCATGTAAAAGAATGACTGGTACTTTTTATCACAAAACCTTGGTTTAAATTCTCTGCTTGAAATGTTTTTATCTAGTTACAAGAAAAACTTGTAGATCCTTTATCAGTCAGGGGAGTTACTTGTACAAGTGATTTTTAAAATCACTTATTTGCGTGATTTTTTATTTTTGCATAGAAACATAGCGATCGGTAAATAAAATTGAAAATTTGAATTTCCCGCAATTTGTAGCTCGTTGTAATCTCGCGAGATTTTGCGGAAACCACGTGGTTTTCCAAAGATATGGTGGGAAAATACTGTAAACATTGACAAGATAAGGAGTTTACAAAAATTGATTGAAAATGACTAAAAATAGCCTCGAAATATTAATAGTCTGGGGATTTTATAAGATTTTTGCTGATACTGTGAATATTTTTCCGATAAACTTCAACATTTAAACTACGTTTTGACGTTGAAAAATTTACGTACTCTCGATTGAAATTCAAGTACTCGCGTGGTCAGAAATTTGGACCTTCTGAAGATTGGAAATCACGCCAATGAGTGATATTTTTTATTCAGGTACAAAAGATCATTTCAGCAAGTGATTTTTGGGAATGGTATTAACTTAAAGGGGATTAACTCCTGACGACTTAAAAAGTTTAAATAATTTCCCCGTGCATGTTTGTCAGAATGTCAGAAAATAATTTTGGCACGATAAAATAAATATGAAATCATTGTGCGTTTTCTTTTTTTATTATAATTTCACACTGCAAACGGAAATATTAAATATTTATTTGATAAATACAGACTTAATAAAGCAGATCTTTTTTTACCAAACTTCGTAACAACTAACATGCAAAGATAATTTTTTTTTGCCAGAAATGGTAAACAAATAACTTGCATATTTATCTCCAAGTGTATTTTTTATAGTTTATTACATTTGTACATGCAGTTGTATAAATTGTGCATATCATGTACTATGTGTTTCAGGAAAATAAACAGATAAACAGTTGCATATATAGACTATGTGATTAACCATTACTGCATTAGGCATTAAATGTTCTATCACATTATCATGCATATTTCATATTTGTTGTTTTTATAAGTCCCCTAACTACTGACAAAGTCGAAGGGGACTTTAGGTTTGCACTCCGTCCGTCTGTCTGTCCATCCGTCAGTCTGACAAATCAGTTTTCCACACTTTTTTTCTTCATGCTTGAAGATATTGATTTGATATTTGGTATATAGTTTTATTATGACAAGTTTCAGATCAAGTTTTCATATTGTTCCGGTCTGATGATTTTGTGCAGAGTTATGGTCCTTGAACTTAGAAATTTCACTCAAAAAATCAGGTTGCCACACTTTTTTCGGTCAAGCTTGAAGATATTGATTTGATAATTGGTATATAGTTTTATCCTGACAAGTCACAGATAAGTTTGAATTTTGTTCCAATCTGAAGATTTCGTGCAGAGTTATGGTCCTCGGACTTGGAAAATTCACTCAAATAATCAGTTTTCCTCACTTTGTTTCGTCATGCTTGAAGATATTGATTTGATAATTGTTATATAGTTTTATCATGACAAGTTACAGATCAAGTTAGCATTTTGTTCCAGTACAATGATTTTTTAACGGGTAGGGGACTATATATTGCCATGCAATACTCCCAGAATGCTTGTTGATCTAACAATCTAACATTCAGATTTATGCATGTTATATGAAATTATTAAAAATCACTGTGCAGTAAGATCATTTGTACCATCATAGAAATCACTCTGTGCAGTGATTTAAAATCATTTGTACAAGTGATTTATATTATTAAATGTAAATCACTCTGTGCAGTGATTTAAAATCATTTGTACAAGTGATTTACATTGTTATTTATCCTGGTCTTATGGGTTTTTTGTCGAGCCTGCGACTTTTGTTGCAGAAAGTTCGACATAGGGATAGTGATCAGTAGGCGGCGGCGTTAGCTAACTTCTTAAAAGCTTTATATTTTAGAAGCTGGAAGACCTGGATGCTTCATACTTTGTATATAGATGCCTTATGTTACGATGTTTCCATCTGTCACATGTCCATTGTCCTTGACCTCATTTTCATGGTTCAGTGACTACTTGAAAAAAAAGTAAAGATTTTTTGTGAAGTTAATTTCTCTCTTATTATGAGTAATAGAATAACTATATTTGGTATGTGCGTAGCTTGCAAGGTCCTCATGCCCGTCAGACAGTTTTCACTTGACCTCAACCTCATTTCATGGATCAGTGAACAAGGTTAAGTTTTGGTGGTCAAGTCTATATCTCGGATACTATAAGCAATAGGTCTAGTATATTCGGTATATGGAAGGACTGTAAGGTGTACATGTCCAACTGGCAGATGCCATCTGACCTTGACCTCATTTTCACGGTTCATTACTTAGTATTAAGTTTTTGTGTTTTGGTCTGTTTTTCTTAAACTATAAGCAATAGGTCAACTATACTTGTTGTATGGAAGAATTGTAAGCTGTACATGTCTGCCTGGCATGGTTCATATCATACAACTCATGTTCTCCAGCTGAGCCTAGCAATATTCAAGGTAATTTATACACTGTCCAACATTGCCCTTAAAATCTGGGTTATAACCTAAAGTGCCCTTTCAGACAACTAGCACCCTTCTGCCCTGAGATTCAAGCTAGAACACTGATATGACATTGACCTCATTTTCATGGTTCATTGGTCAATGTTTAGTTTTCTTGATTAAGTCTGTTTCTTAGAAACTATAAGCAATAGGTCAACTATATTTAGTGTATTGAATGATTGTAAGGTGTAAATGTATTTCTTGTTTGGTTTATATGACCTTGGCCTCATTTTATTGGATCATGTTAAGTTTATGTGATAGTTGTAGTTAAGCTTTATATTTGTGACTATCAACATGATATCAATGATTAGTAAAGAAGGCGAGACATTTCAGCGTTTGCACCCTTGTCTTACTATTAAGAAAGCATTTTAACATCACAATGTCCATTAAAAAAGCATGCATATATAGTACAAATTCATATGAGGTAAGAAAACATATGATCTCACCATAATGAAAATCACTGTGTAGTGATTTGAAATCATTTAATTTGTACAAGTGACTTATATTATTTAATGTAAATCACTCTGTGCAGTGATCAGATTTGAAATCATTTGTACAAGTGATTTACATTATTATTTATCCTGGACTGCGTGGTCTTATGGGTTTTCTTAACTATTATAACAGGTTGGGAACAACCCCCAAATGAGGGATATCCCTTTAATGAGGGACTGTCCCTCAGACAAGGGGTCATTTTACTGTTGTAAAACGTAAAACTTATATTTTTTAACTTAAAAACAGTTTATCCCAAACTTTGACTGACCAACAAAATGTCAGACAAAAAGTCATTCGGTCAGACAGAAATTTTCAGATTTTTTTAGTTGAAAATATAGACGAAAAGGTCAAATTTCTTTTTCAGTCAGACAAACTCTAAAACTGTTTGGCATAGACTGTTAAAAGGGAAAAAATTATTATACATGTATTTCATAATTTTGAACAACTTTTCTAAAAGACGGGTACACTTATTTTTAATAATAAAGAAGATATACATGTAAGTCCAGAAATATTACAAAATTCTTGGACATGTTTTGACCATTTAATACAAGATAGATTTACAGTTCTTTGGGAAAAGTTTCTTCAAATAATATAAATATTTGCTCATTTGCACATGTATACCCTGTGATGCGTTTTCAGATTCATCACTCAACAACTAAAGTTACTTCCTGTTTACCGAACACTTGTATCGTTTTACACATGATAGCCAAGTTTTGGACGATCAATGCATTTGAATGAGAAAATATGGTTTTACACCCCTTATACATTAGTTGGTAAATATCACCATGATCACTGACAAGTTCAATAAATAAATTGGGTCAATTGGCTATAAATACCTTGTGTGCTATAAATATTTCTTATCAATTAAAACATTCAAGGCGTAACAATAATCACAAATACTACAAAATATTCTTGTCAAAAGTTGTTTTATATATATTATCTCCTTCTGGCGTCAACACTTTGTGGTGTAATTGTCAGGAAAACCTTTCATGTGCACTCAAATACCCCCTCCCCCCAAACCAATACACTTAAAAAGCATTTGTGCATCATCATCATAATGATCAAGTTGATCTGTGGCATTTTGAAGCTAAAGTAAAAAAAATCACTGGTTGAAGTGATGCACGTAGAAAAATTAATTAAAATCACTCTACACAGTGATTAAGATTCAAATTCACTACATTAGTTAAAGTTATTATAACTAAACAACTAAACATACTAAAAAAAACGATTGTGAAAATTTGAGATATTTGTACTTTTGTCCCCCCCCCCCCCCCCCCCCAAAAAAAAAAAACCAACAGTTTCCTTCAAGCTACACCTATTTTCAAATTTATTGAAATAAAGAACACATCATGCACATTAAAGAAAAAAAATACATTTGAAAATACTTGTAGTAGTACAATGTAGCTAATACTTGTAATAGATATAAAAAAGAAGATGTGGTATGATTGTCAATGAGACAACTCTCCACAAGAGATCAAATGACACAGAAATTAACAACTACAGGTCACTGTATGGCCTTCAACAATGAGCAAAGCCCATACCGCATAGTCAGCTATAAAAGGCCCCGAAATAGAAATGTAAAACAATTCAAACGAGAAAACTAACGACCTAATTTAAATTTAGACCTGGCCTAACATTAATTTGCTAGTTTGTCTGACCTTTCAAATAAGTGAGCAAAAAAAAAATAAAAAAGAAAGCATAGCACCCTCCCTTTTTTCAATTGATAAATGGTTTGGCAGTTATCGTGTTTTTGCCCTATGAAATATTCTTAAAAAATTATAGATTTGATCTGATTGATAATTTTTTTGTAATCAATGAAAAGATGTTACTTTAGTAAGTCAGTTTTTGAAGGTAATTTGAAATTAATTTAAGGATCCTGACCAGGGACATGACAATGTGAGAGGAATAAACATTTTTTTAGAATTGAACCCTGCTTTCATCCATGTATAATGCCAGGTAAATATGGAAACGAGTTCATGTAACCTTTTTACAGATAAATTTTAATCGCAATTTGAAATGATTTGGGTTTCAAGCACCTGGATAAATCAATTTTTTCTTCATGAATGATCTTGTGCTGGACAGTCAGGACCCCTTGCTGAACCAGATTACAACAAAAATGTTATCTGAATTTAAATTTATAGAAATAGTTATATTCTGACAAAAAGATTCAAATTACCTTAGGGACTGCAAAATTTGACAACTTTTATGACCTCTGCATTCTGTTTCAACCCTTACAAAGACTAAAATCTGCAACAGAGTTCAATCATTGATGATTAGTCCTGGTCATTAAATAAAGATTAATATTCTGGTACTGGGTTTCAAATAGGGGAGGGGTTTCTAATTGGAAATCACTTCTACCAGTGTTCTGTTGAAATCACTCTGAACAGTAAATAAAAGTCACTCAAGTCATCCCCCCTTTTTAGCTGACTGAGGCCGTAAGTGCCCTATGTGAGCTTATGTCATCACTTGGCGTCTGTCGTCATAAACTATTTCAAAAACTTATCCGCTGAAACTACTATGCCAAATACCTTCAAACTTTAAATGAATGTTCATTAGGGTATCTAGTTTAAAAATTGTATCCGAAGTTTTGATCCACCAACAAACATGGCCACCAATTCATTAAAGAACATTTAAATGGTATTTTTAAGCCACTCATTATTAATATATATTGAAAAGCAAAAATAATCATTGATGAAAGATTAAAGCAAAAAATAACAGGTAGGTGATTCAGGCTCTTGAGAGCCTCTTGTTTATTAAGATTCAATTGCTGTTGCACACATTTTGTTTCAGCCCTCTGAAATTATACAATTTACAACAGATTTGATTTGATTGATAAATATAGTTTTTTTTTATTTTGAATTAAAAAAAAACATATCTGTTTTTCACCATAGAAGTTAATTGGAAATACTGCTGGTATCAGAGATAAACACACATTTTAATTCACAGTGATTTTAAGTCATTTGTACAAGTGATTAACATTCTAATTGAATGAAAATCACTCTGTGCTGTGATTTAAAATCATTTGTACCAGTGATTTACATTATTTCAAAATGTATGTGATGAAAGACACCCTTTGAAGTGTTTTATTTTTATTTATACCAGTGATCAATACTATTTTTTTAATGAATGATTATATTCCATTAACTTCACTACATATTATAATTATGACCAGAAAATCTTATTTATTACTGTTTGAGTCTTTAGTTTTCTACAAATGTATGTAAAAATGTTTGTGATTTTTTTTGGTCATATATATATATATAGCATTTTCAGTTTATGAGTTTTTATTGTTCCTTTTTATGCCCCAGCTGTAGCGTAGGGGCATTAAGTTTTACCCTTGTCCATGTTGTCTGTACATCCCAAAATTGGTTTCCGTTCTCTAACTTAACTTTGCCTCAACCAAATGTAATGAACCTTATAGACAATGCTTATTACCGCCAAACTCAGCACGACTACAAATATGGTAGCATCAGTTTTACAGTTTGTGAGTTATGTCCCTTTATTACAGTATATGCAAGCAGTTTATTTGAAAGAACATTTGAACAGATTGCTACTAATCATTTCTAATGCTATTGTTTGTTCAGAAAATAAATTTTTCTCCTTACAAGTTAGTTTTTATTTATTTTCACCTTTTAAACAGGTGTCTTCTATTAGCTAATGTCAAAATGACCCCTGTTGTGATGTTGTCCTCTGAAAGAGGGAGATAACCCTGGTTTCTTATTGAAACTTTAATTTTCCAAACATAATAATCACTTGAATGAGTGATTTAAAAAAATATTTTTAATCACTGGTAGAAGTGATTTTTAAAAAGTAATGAAAGGGAATTAACTCTAGTTTTGTTGAAAAAATCACTTGAGAAAGTGATTTTAAAAATCACTTGTACAAGTAACTCCCCTGACTGTTTATCATGTTTATTAAAAATATGTATTCTGAAATTATATCTGTATGAACTCTGAATCATATCCTAGAATTTTTAATCCAGACTAAGATAAACTATGATTATAACATTTCAGGAGGTAGGACTGCTGATGCTATTATAAACACTGCCTTAAGCAAAGTACAATCAATGGTGAGAGACAGAATGCAGGGCAAGAGTGGAAGTGGTGGTGGGGGCAGTGGCGGTGGATCTCAGGTTAGTTATCATACAATGTCAAGGTCAGGTTGAAAGATGGGGTAGAATTTGACAGTTGTGAGGATCAAAGCATAAGGGTAAAAAATGTTGTTCTATTCTAAATACTGTAGACTTTGTGGTCCTAGTTTTAACAGGTATTTCTTTGTAGAGTCTACACCAGAATTCATTAGAACATACAAACTTGTCAAATAAATGTACATGCATACTTCAACGTTCTCCAAAGGGACTTATAGCACTATGGTAATATAATGCATTATAAATGTGGTGCTTAAATTTTAGAGGAGCAGTGCTATTTCAAGTCTATTTGAAAATGCTAGGGAGAACACAATTAAACTTCAAATTACATGAATTGGGTAAATACTGTAATTGAAAGTTTTTAAAAAATATTTTTTCTTATCCATACAGAAACCTGACCCAGGTGCAGTGATTGAATTAACAGACAGTAACTTTGAAGACTTGGTTATTAATGGTGATGACATGTGGCTTGTTGAATTCTTTGCTCCATGGTGTGGCCACTGTAAAAATTTGGCTCCACATTGGACACAGGCTGCCACACAACTTAAAGGGAAGATTAAAATGGGAACTCTTGATGCCACAGTCCACACAGTCATGGCTAACAGATATGGGGTAGGTATTTGTTTTATGGCTCACTTACCATAGATGGGGACATCTTTTGATTTAGGTATGTATGTCCGTCCTTTTCAGGTGTAAGTTGGTTGGTTAAAGTTTTAGTTTAAGGTACTGTACCATGACATTGAGGTCACATGGACCTGAACCTTAGTAGACATATATAAAAATAAAGAGATGTGGTATGATTGCCAAGTAGACAACTTTCCAACAGAGTTAAAATAAAGTGGTAGTAAGCAATTATATGCCTTCAACAATGAGAAAAATCCATACTGTGTAGTCTGCTATATATTAAAGGCCCACACATTCGATAAATGTGAAACAATTCAAACAAGAAAACTAACAGCCTAATTTATAACAAAACAATTTAGAAAAAACAAATATGACATGAACCATGCAACTACAACCAACATGTTATCTGATAGTATGTTCAAAATAATAATTTAATCAATGTTACCTGGTTACAGGTCTGAGGTTATTCTAAATGTTAATGTTATCAATGTTTCAGGTCTGAGTTTATTCTAAATGTTAATGTAATCAATGTTACAGGTCTGAGGTTATTCTAAATGTTAATGTAATCAATGTTACAGGTTAGAGGTTATCCAACAATTAAGATGTTTCCAGCTGGTAAAAAGTCTGAGAGTGATGCACAGGAGTATGATGGAGGAAGAACAGCTTCAGATATTGTAGCCTGGGTTAATGACAGATATACTGCTAACCTACCAGCACCAGAAATATATGAGGTAGGTACTTGCCATATTTAGAAACACTTACACATAGCAACTGATAAAGCAACTTAGCCTTTTCTTTATTATGTTATGTTGTACAAGTGCTTGTATCGAAATAATCTAAAGAAAACCCTTTTGCAAAGAAAAATTTGAGAAAGTAAGTGGTCAGAGGACACAGTTATCGTCGTTTGGTTTTTCGTTGTCTACAAATATAGTCCTTAGTGTGGACAGTGTATAACTTGCAAATTTTTTTCATACACTTTCCGAATTTATTTCTTTATATTTTATGCATGAAATATTAAGTAGGGGTATGGAAACTTATACAAAATACTTATTACTACAAAACTCAGATCAATAACAAATTTGGGTTGCGTCACTTTTACCGTTCTTCAGTTATGTCCCTATATAACTGTATATGATATGCAAGCGGGGGCATCATCTGTGTCCCATGGACACATTCCCCATTTATTTGAATTTGAATTTATTGTCTAAAAGAAATACACTACGAAATAACTGTGTTCTCAGGCCAAGTTACATGTAACACTCTCAAAAGTATCTATCCTGCCAAACGTGTCTGCCTTGCAGAAATGAGTCCTTTTTGCTCAAACATGTCCTTCAAATCACAAATAGGCCAAACGTGTCTTAACAATTTCTATCTGCTGCAGCATGTCCACTTTAAGACACCATAACATAACATCTCAAAAACTTGAAGCGCTTATAGTTCTCTATGACATCAATAATTTCTAAGGCAGTCATAAGGGACTTAATTGAAAACATCAGGGTTTTGCTGGAGTTAGACACAAAACAAAAATCAAAACAGCTATCCAAGGACATCAAAGCAGAATTACTAAACAACAAGAATAAAATTCAAAGTCATGAAAGTGGTGACCAAAAATTGAAGAGATGGTCAGAAAAGTCAGAAAGGATAATGAAAAATGCATACTGCACAATTGTATATTACAAGGAATCTGGACGCAGTGAAAATCTTTAATGTCAACCACAGAATATGCTAGACAAAAGAATAGATAATAGCCAAAATTATAAATACTTACAAAGTGTATTAATTGTGCAATTAGGAATATGCTTTCAACAATGAGCATTCACTTCACGATTGAAAAACAGAAATGATCAAGGAAATTTCTCAAAAATGTTTCTCACCAACATGGCCAAGTGCATTTGTTTATTGCTTGCCCCATTTCAATTTAATTCCTGGGGGTGAGCGCCTAATTTACTCATTGTGTTGAGAGTCAGACTTGCATTTAAATGTTTTATACGTTTGATACATAATTATCATCATGTGTTTTTTATTTTAATGCTTGTTGTTTCTTTCTTTGCAGATTACAACTCAAGACGTATTTGACAAGAATTGTCAAGAGAGCCAGCTTTGTGTTGTAGCAGTTCTCCCTCACATTTTAGACTGTCAGTCAGCCTGTAGAAACAAATACATAGCAACATTGAAAACTATGGGAGAAAAATATAAAAAGCAACAGTGGGGGTGAGTAAAAAGGGCAATAACTCTGTTAACTGTTAACTGTCTCGAGTAGAGAAATATGGTATCACACTTGCTGCAGTGGTAGAATCAATATATATATTTTAAAACCTCAGTTAGGAGAGGACGGAGAAACACAAAACAATACAATGTACATGTTAATGATTAAACAGATGGGAAACAAATGTGACATACAACAAGAAAAAGCAATATCACTAAAAATGTAACTTCTTTTTCTTCATTGTATGTCCTTCCAATCAGGAACACCAAGTAAAAAAAAATGTTTTAACTTGTATGAAAAGGTACACATACAAAACTGTAATATATTTCAGTATCAGGAAAATAGTTGGGAATTTAGATATATGAAAACTTTCTTATAAGCACAAAAAGCAGATTATGACTTCTTGTTTCAGATGGCTGTGGACTGAAGCTGCTGCACAACCCAATTTAGAAAAGACTTTAGGTATTGGTGGATTTGGTTATCCTGTATGTATAAGTTATTGTTTTTGTATGAAAATATAAAATTAAGGAATAACAGTACTGTAGTTGAAGAGTTGCCGCCATCAGTTGGCAATTTGATGGTCACAAATGCAATTTTACTGGCGACGCATATAGGGGAGACAGTATAACGGATATTTGCGACCTTCAAGGCAAAATTGACCGTGGCAACTCTTCAACTACAGTACTGTTATTCCTTTTCTAATGCATTTCAAAATTAAGAAATAATTCATGAAAGCCATAGATTTGTTGGAAATTTACACATGGCCTGGGCCATGATATTCGAATTTTAACCTGAGCGTTAGTGAGGGATAAAATTAACGAATATCACGGCCCAGGCCATGTGTAAATTTACAACAAATCTATGGCTTCCATGAATTATTTCTATTCTAATAGGACAAATACGGTCATTAAAAAACTGAAGCGATGGTGGGTATGCTGTGTGTGTGGCTGTTATTTTTTACTCCCTGTTAGATAAAGCTAAAACATTCTAATAAATATGTAGCTTGCATGAATTATTTTGTAAACAACCGCTAGAAAAAATGTGCTTAATTCTTTAAATTCTCAAACCCAACATTTGCCATTTTTAATTTACATGTTTTTCTCGTAAGCTACCGTCAAATCCAAAGTTGACATTTCGTAACTAAGGAGCCGCCATGTTGACTTGCTGAAATCAGTAAATATGCGAATAATGCAATAAAATAGAAAATAAAACAACACCTACCTCAAAAATCCGTTTTAATGTAATATTATACGAATTTCGATGGTTCACGTAACGGAAAAGCCTTCAGCTTTAGCGTTTTCATTTGTATGATGTCATGTTTTGAAATGACTTAAATGCGCCAAAAGCATTAATGGACTTTCGCGGAATTTTATTTTATTTTGATTTTGTAGATTTCTCCGAGCTCTTGTGCATTAATTCTTTTTGTTATGCATCCGAATAAGAATAAAAGTTCTGTAGTCTATTTTCAATTGCAATTTGTAAAACAATAAAATTCGGCACAGCGTTTGCCAATACATGTGGATTTACGAGGGAGGTATATTGTAACATCCATTATTATGTATATCTCTGAGTCTGCGCTAAGTATAGATATATCGAGAATTTTATCACGATGTTGTTTACAAAGCGAAAGAAGCACGTCATATTAGAATGAAGAAATATGTTAGTGCTTGAAAAAATGTATAAATTTGAAATAAGATAAAATTCCTCTAAACTTTGTGAATGATTTTGGCCCATAGACGTCATGGCTAAAAGTGACATCATATAAATGAGAAATTCCAAACCGAAGGTTATTCTGTTAATTCTACTATATATATTCAAATTTAGATAAAATCACATTAAAACAGCGTTTTTGAGGTATGCATTGTTTTATTTTAGCTAATATAATTGTAGTAATCGAACATTTGTTGATCCAAGTAATTCAAAATTGCATGTCACTCCTTAGTTACGACATGTTAACTGTGGATTTGATTATTAAAAAATTGTAAGATAAAAAATGTTTTTTAAAAAAAAAGATATGGGCAGATCCATAAAATCATACATGGGACCTAGGGAAGGAATATTAAATTTACAAACTTTGGGTCGGTGTTTTTGTATGGTGAGTGAAACAGAAGTTCTAAACTTGCCTCTATAGATATGGTTACCCCATTATCAAAGTGCCTTCCCATGTTTTATGGAACAAACCTTGGAATAAAAGGGAGATTTGAGGTCAGTATAATCAGGCAGAGTTTGGTTTACACATGGTTCGGTTTTAACAGGTTTCCATATGTTTGTTTTCAACAGTTTTGACTTGACTAGCTATCAACAATATTTGTTATATAATTCCAGGCAATGGCAGCTGTTAATTCAAGGAAGAAATTGTATGTTTTATTAAAAGGACCATTTACAGAAACTGGTATTAATGAATATTTAAGGTATGTAATATATACCCATCAATATAGAAACTTCAATAAATTATATATAATCATGCTTCATTGTATTGAATTTCAAAACAAATGATATGGTTAACATGGGTATATATACAGACTTGGTTCATAAGTGTTTCTCGTTTCTCGTTTTTTTATATAGATTAGACAGTTGGTTTTCCTGTTTGAATGGTTTTACACTAGTCATTTTTGGGGCCCTTTATAGCTTGCTGTTCAGTGTGAGCCATGGCTCTGTGTTGAAGACCGTACTGTGACCTATAATGGTTTACTTTTATAAATTTTGACTTGGATGGAGAGTTGTCTCATTGGCACTCATACCATATCTTCTTATATCTATTGACAGACTTATGAATAAATCTCAAAATGAACCATGTTTCACACATTTGTTTTCCCTGTAATTTGAATAAGAATGATTAAAATTATGCTGAAAGATATTTAAAAATCTATATTTTCTTATAATAAATTAAATGAGCAACAATTTACTTTTCTTTTATTGGACATTTCTAACACACAGTGAGCAATTCCAAAAGAAATATAGTCTTACATAAAGGTCATTTTGTAAAAAAATTATTTGGATTAGTGTGACCTGTCATAATATCTTTTAAACTAATTTGCTTATCCTTATCTGGACAGTCTAAGTGAGGTCCATCAAACTGGTCTTAAGTTTGCTACTTGTAGGAATTAATCCAAACACTTTTTCCAATCAAATTAAAATGTATAGCAGTAGTGAAAACAATTCTTAAGCTTTATTTTAAACAATGTTTTCCATTGTTGTATATCTATAAATATCTATAAATTTCAGGAGTTTATCATATGGTAAAGGATCAACAGAACCATTAAAAGATTTACCAAAAGTAGATAAAACAGAGCCTTGGGATGGCAAAGATGGACAGGTAAGATCCTACTTTTCACTCATATCCTTTTCAGACAGTGTTAGAATTAGTAAAATGAGATGCTGGACAGTTGTCAATGAGATAGAAGAGTTTTAAGCTTATTATGTACAAGCAGCTTCCTTGTGGATAATCTACAGAATGGAAGACTTTTAAAGACTGCAACATGAAATTGCAGGCAGCGCATATGAAAAAGAAGGAGTTCAAGAAGGGTCCAAAATGGCCCTAAGATTTTTGTTTTTTTATTTAGACCAAAATACTATAAAATACACCTCGCAATAGGTGTGATTTTACTTTTAGTTCAAAACGAAGTCTTTTGGCACATCACATTATAAATTACGGAGAAGTTACCATTTAATTATGCATAAGTTGTGTTGTAACTTCAGTGTTTGGTCGATTTTCTCATAGTAAATAACTGTTTTAAGCATAATTTACTTTTGCCGCAACACTTGATCCACAAAATGCATAAAATCATTGTATTTTGACAATATATCTAAAATGTGCTGACTTTGAAGCCCATAGTTATGAAGAAATTTGTTTTATCCAGCTTTAAGGCTTTTGAAATATATTCATTTAAGAACCAAATTATGGCTTTTCTGATATTTTATGATAAAGTTGAAATTCAAAGGTCATATATTTATTAATGCAAATTAAATGATGATTCATCTATTTGCAGTTACCAGTAGAAGATGATATAGACTTGTCTGATGTAGAATTGGACGATTTGAAGGATGAATTGTAATACAACGAACTGTAGACAGAGTTAATGTTAGTTTGCTCATTATGTTATGGAGGAGTTGATCATCAAACCATGTCAAAATTACTTTGTAATACTTAACAAATCAGTGGTTATTTAATTTTATTGGAGATATCTTAGTGGAAGCCATGACTATATTTTTAGTTGCTATTTGAAAAATATTAAAGGATGTGTCATCCAATTTAATTAAAAGCTACTGATTTTCAAAAAAGATTTGCTACATTTTTTATACTGGATTCTTTTACTCTTTGATTTGTTTGTATATTTTTTTTCAACCTCAAGCAATTTAAGATTTTTGTTAGAATAAGGTCAGTGTGACCTAGTTTTAAAGTCCAGTGTCTGTTTATTAGATTTGATTTTACAACCAAGGGTGAAAAAGTTGAAATTTTGCACTAAAAGTGTATTTTGAATTTATATTTTAGGGTACGATGAAATAATGTACTAATGAGAAAAAGGATTTGGCTTTTGTTATTTCATGAAATTGATTTTACTCATTGTTGAAGGCTTTCTGATGACCTGTAGTGGTTAACATCCTTGTTGTTGATATTTGTCTCCTTGACAAACACACATTCCACCTTATAGCTATAATGGACACATTTAATGTAAATTGATACAAAAAAATCAAATTGTTTGTTGTCCCACGTCCTGGAAGATCATGGAATTTTGATAAATGAATATTATTAAATATTTCTTTGAAGTAATTTTATTGTTAGCAATCTTGTAAAATGACTTATGTAACAAGGCAAGAATGGAACAAAAGAAGGTATCATTCAGGCAGACTTCATTGGCTGTTAAAAGTTATATAGTTGACCAATCAAGAAAATTTGAAACTCAGTCATCCTCCATTTTTTGTCATGAAATCCTGTTATGCAAGGTCATAATTGTGTTTAAAAGGAATACATGATGTTTTAATTGTTCATTGATATGTGTTTTGTTTTCTTATGTTGTACATGCAATCCAATTTTGTACCAAAAGAAAATGGGATATGAACATTTTACAATAACAAACATCTTAGAAAGCAAAAATCTTTCAGTTCTAAGCTGTTGTCTTCTATGAAAATTAAGCACAATTGGATTTTGTATATTCTAAGCTATTGTCTTCTGTGAAAATGAGGACAACTGTAAGGCCATGAAATTAATTTTTAGGTTAAAGTCTTCATTATTTTATTTGAGAAAAGACAGTGAATGGTTGATACCATCTTTATCCTCTATTAAAAAAACTTAATCCTAAAAAAGAAATATTGTGGATTCATAAATTGTCATGGAAGCCAATTTTCTTGAAATGAAGAAAAAAGGTATTCTCATGGTTCTAAAAAATTAAAAGAAATAAAAAAAAATCTAGATCCTCATGTTTATGTATTGAAATGCTGCATTTGGATACCCAGCACTGATCTTGTTGAAGACTAGAAACTCAAGAATTAGTTTTATTTGGTCTGAATTATATGATGATCATGTGGTAAATGTATGTGAATGATTATAGCACTTGTTATGGTGGATGTATGTGTGAATGATTTAAAGATATTAAATGTTGATAATGAAATATATGTTATGATTGTATGAATAAATAAATTATTTTTTAAAACAAGTCTTATTTTTTTATTTATATGTATTAGACATAACTTTGAAGATTTATGTACATTATTCAAAGGAAAGAAAAGCAGAAAAATATTAAATACAGAAAAAACACATATATCTCTGTAAAAGGGAGATAATTTATGTTATTGAGACAGCAGTCTTGCTTTTAATACTATGTAGAGAACGTTTTTTAATAGTTTGAGTGATTGCTGCTGAATGTTCAATGACGAATATCACATGCATAGTCAGAAAAAAAACATGCTAATGAGATATGTATATACCCTGCATTGTACCAGAAAGAACTGCCAGGGTAGAAGTGCTGCCAAACTGAGACACATTTTTCTGACTCAAATTCAATCAGTCTTTCTTTGTACCTCAAATTGCTTTAAGCAGGTTTCGTTTGCCCATCCAATTCTTGCTTTCTATTCTAGGTAATCCTTAAAATTCTCTGTAAAAAAAGCTTTTGAAAGTTTTCGACAGACTTGCATACACTAAAATAAAAGTTGACATGGGTTTTGGCAGATTCTGTTATACTTTGAGTTATGGGCCCTCATTACTAGTACTGGCAATATGCCACTTTCCATACAAAAAATTTACCTTCAGCATATGGGGATATTAAAAAATAGACCCACTGTTTTAACACATGATAAAAATAAAAGTAAGCAAGGAGCTTGCTTATGAGAAACTCAGCTGTTTCTTGGTGTTGACTGTATAATCATTGATTATGCTAGTACAATGTACCCCAACCTTCACGAAATATTGAGAAATAGAAATCTTAGAACTCCAGTATGGATTCTCTTCAGTTTTTCTCTGGATGTTAAAATGAAAACTAATTTTCTTTCAACAAACACTTTAAAATATTATTTTCAAATGTGTGGGCATCAGCATCTTAATTTTGATTTTTGGATGATCTTGTGTACCTTATACTCAATTCTTTATAGAAATTGTTCATATGATGGGTAGAAAATTAAGCAAACCCTTAAGACACTGATGCCTAGTTTGTTTATTGCCCCAGTGATTTCAGAAACGACAATGCCAATAAAAATTAAAGTGTTCCTAGATTATCCTTAGGTTGTCTTGTCAATTAGCAAATGATGTTCATTGCAGCCCACCAACCAACTTTACCACCTTGCAGGGCTTAAAATCTAATAAATGTCTAATATCTTGAAAACTAGAATATGAAGAAAATCTGTCACATTGCAAAAATGTTCAGAATGTCAAGATCTACCTACTTTTGACAAAACATCACAACAATGATCAGCAGTACATACCGGTATATAAGATCTACAATCTTGCCAATACAACCAAAACCATCAATTCATTCCTAATAGGATTTATGGCCCTTAAATTATGACTTTTAACCGGATTTTTCGAAGGAAATATTGGTTATTAAAATGGTGACATACGGCGGGCGGCTGCCAAACAGGGTCAGCACAATAACATGAAAACACTTGAACAAATTTTTTCAAATTTAAATATGTTGTTTCCTGGGACTTAATGAAGGTCTAGTTTAATTTTCAAGATATTAGTATATCTCCTTTGTGAGTTATCGCCATTTTTAATATCCAAAAGTGGAATTTTTAAATATTTTACTCTTGTTATCATGTTATGACTAAGCATAATGTCTTATCTCACAATAAAAGTTGGAGTGACAGATTTATTTGAAAATTAACTATTTCCTAAGTGGTAATGATTATAAGCTATATTATTAGACATTTTGAAGTTAATTACATTATTAATTATTAATTAGATCTGGGTTATATCTTAGCATATAATATTATTGGAGTGACAGATTTATTTGAAAATTTTCTGTTTCCTGATAAGATCTGTAGGACTGTATATATAAAGTTTGAAATTTACTAGTAGCACTGTATAAATAAAAATTGGAATTTACTGTTCATTATTAGACATTTTGTAGATAACTAAGTCTCCCTAAAACATATATATTCTTACCCCCACCCCCTTTCAATTTGAGGCCCCTGTTTGTGGGAAAAATTTGGTTGATTATATAGGGAATCACTGAAATATGATTGGAGCGGGCCCCCCCTTATGAAAAGTTCTGGATCCGCCACTGAAACAGTCAAGATCCCCACTTCGAAACCATATATATTGTTGTATGGGACAATAAAACAAATCTAATGAAATAAAAAGCGAGTCCCCTAGGGTCACCCCACCCCATCCTGTTTAAGAACTTGTAAACCGTTGAGATCCCCACCCCTAAACCATATATATTCTTGAATGGGACGATAAAACAAATCAAATGATATATAGGGGAAGTCGTCGTTAGCTTTTTACAAAAATCTTCTCCTCTGAAACCACTAAGCCAAATTTAACCAAACTTGGCCACAATCATCATTAGGGTATCTAGTTTAAAAAATGTGTCCGATGACCCTGCCAACCAACCAAGATGGCCGCCATGGCTAAAAATAGAACATAGGGGTAAAATGTAGATTTTAGCTTATATCTCTTAAACCAAAGCATTTAGAGTAAATCTGACAGGGTAAAACTGATTATCAGGTCAAGATCTATCTGCCCTGAAATTTTCAGACAAATCTGACAACCTGTTGTTGGGTTGCTGCCCCTGAATTGGTAATTTTAAGGAAATTTTGCAGTTTTTGGTTATTATCTTGAATATTATTATAGATAGAGATAAACTGTAAACAGCAATAATGTTCAGCAAAGTAAGATCTACAAATAAGTTGCATGACCAAAATTGTCAGTTGACCCCTTTAGGAGTTATTGCCCTTTATAGTCAATTTTTTAACAATTTTTTGTAAATTTTTGTAATCTTTTACAAAAATCTTCTTCTCTGAAACTACTGAGACAAATTTAACCATACTTGGCCATAATCATTATTAGGGTATCTAGTTTAAAAAATTTGTCAGATGACCCCGCCTTCCAACCATCATGGCCGACTTGGTTAAAAATAGAACATAGGGGTAAATTGCAGTTTTTGGTTTATATCTCTGAAACTAAAGCATTTAGAGCAAATCTGACAGTGGCAAAAATGTTCATCAGATTTAGATTTATCTGCCCTGAAATTTTCAGACGAATCCGACAACCCGTTGTTGGGTTGCTGCCCCTGAGTTAGTAATTTTACAAAAATTTTGCAGTTTTTTGTTATTATCTTAGATATCATTATAACATCTAATATCTAATACTATTAATTATGATTTTAACCTTATTTTACATGATTTCCAAAGCATCAGTAAATACAGGTGAGCGACACAGGCTCTTGAGAGCCTCTAGTTTTGAAAACTTGTAAACGGTCAAGATCCACACCCTGAAACTATATATATTCTTGTATGGGACAATAAAACAAATCAAATGAAATACAAGGCGAGTCCCCTGGGGTCACCCCCACCCCCTCCTGTTTAAGAACTTGTAAATGGTGGAGATCCCCACCCCTAAACCATATATATTCTTGTATGCAATAAAACAAATCAAATGAAATATAGGGGAAGTCCATGGGGGTCACCCCCACCCCCTTCTTTTTGATAACTTGTAAACGGTCTAGATCCCCACCCCTAAACCATATATATTCTTGAATGGGACAATAAAACAAATCAAATGAAATTAAGGGGAAATCCCCTGGGGTAACCCCCACCCCCCTTCTTTTTGAAAACTTGTAAAAGGTCAAGATCCCCATGCGGAAACCATATATATTCTTGTATGGGACCATAAAACAAATCAAATGAAATATAAGGCGAGTCCCCTTGGGTCACCCCCACCCCCTCCTGTTTAAGAACTTGTAAACGGTCAAGATCCCTACCCCTAAACCATATATATTCTTATACAGGACAAAAAAACAAATCATATGAAATAAAGGGAGAGTCCCCTGGGGATCACCCCCCCCCCCCCCTTCTAGAACTTGTAAACGGTTGAGATCTCCACCCTTAAACCATATAAATTCCTGTTTGTAATTTCAAGAAGATTTGAATGACATACAGGGTCAATCCATAGGCGTCACTAATGCATATCATAAACCAATTTGTACTGGACATAATGCCCAATGTCAAGCGACAATGGGAATGACGAATTATTGGAGCTTTGATTGGTAGACTTCGTAACAGCATTCTGTTACAATTATTTCTTGTTACTGATAAGTTTTATAGATTTTGAAATGACATTGTATTTTTTTTTTAATGATAAATAAAATTTTGGATTTTTTTCTTCTTTTCTTTGGTAAATTGTTTGTAGAATTTTGTGGCAAGTTTGTTTGTTATTCTGTAAAAACTAATTTTCTGAATGCTATATATATTTTTTTTTTTATGAAGTAAACTCCTTTAAAAACTAAGCTTATATTGTCTATTAATAAACATATATTTAGATTTCTGATTTTGGGCCCAGTTTTTAAGTTGGTCCAAATTGGGGTCCAAAATTTAACTGTGTTCGATTTCAACATAAATTGAATATATATAGGGTTCTTTGAAATGCTTAATCCAAACCTGTATTTCTTTTCATTATTAATAAGACAATACCACATTGAGGTCCAAAGGGTCCTAAATTACACTTTTGATTAATTTCATCAAAAATTGAATTCTTTGGTTCTTTGATATGCTGATTCTGGCAATGTTTGAGTGTTAAATCATATCTAATTTTAGAGAACTTAGTCATCACTGGTTGTTGTTATTATATTATTGATTATAATTTGAAAAATTGCATCATATCTTATTTTAGAGAACTATTTATCCAGTTTGAGTTATTTCCCTTTGCACAGAAAATACTATGGATAAAATTAACCTGTGTTTCATTTCAACATAAATTAAATATACATAGGGTTCTTTCAAATGCTGAATCTAAACCTGTATTTAAATATTAGATTTTTGGGCCCAGTTTTCAAGTTGGTCCAAATCAGGGTCCAAAATTAAACTTTGTTTGATTCAACAAAAAAAATATTTATGGGGTTCTTTGAAATGCTGAATCTAACCATGTATTGAGAGATTTTGGATTGTGGGCTCCTTTATCAAATTGGTCCACATTGAGATCCAAAGGGTCTTAAATTAAACT